TTTTGCGTTAACTTGATGACCCTGATTTAAATGACGTAAAATTACACAGTTTTACGCAGATTTCAAGAGGTCGATGCTTGTTGGGGAATTATTGGTCTAGAACCAAATGGAAACATTCATCAAAACTTTCTGAATATTTTCTTATTTTGAATTAATTATAAGGTGGTATTGAAATTGAGGTCACCACTTATATGTGATGAGTTTCAACCATCATTTTGCTGATATTTACTCTAAAGTAGATTTATAGTTACCATACAGCTCTAAGTTTGTTTACAACTTAATGAAAAGGAATGATTAATCATTTTTTGATAAACAAGCCCGACGACAGGGAACCGCTACAACTACACATTGTGTGACAACTAAAATATGTTGTTTCATGGGCAAGTGCGTTTTACGAACGATTTCTCCTTCATTCCTTCGCTGATCAATCTCATATGAATTTCCCCTCTGTCGACTGAATCTGGATGAACATGAATTATAACGTTTAATATCAACTCCCTATTGATCAGATGTTAAAAAACTAAGTGTTCACATTACCTAAACACAATATGCCTGTGATTGTACTGTCCGGATGATCTTGTTTAAAGAAAACGGTTAAAGAACCAGATGGAATAAGGTAATGTCACATTTTCACCCTTTTGAAAGGGTAATTTGACAGTGAAAGCAATTCACGCCATCTGAAAAACCAGCTTTAAGATTTACAAAGGAGTCACGTCCCATTTGAGAAAAAAATATGACAAAAATGGTTGACTACAATTGTAGCTTTAGATATAACAGTTTGATGAGCAGTGCCAAACACTTAATAACATTTCGATCAACGTCAAGAATTAGGAAAGAAGTACCTAGCAGTTTTCTCTTACCGTAGAGTCGTTATTCCGTCATGAAATAGGAAAGTTATTCCGACTTATAGTCGAGCTGACTGAATCGCTCTCCAATGATTACGAGTTTGGCTCCCCGGCTTTTAGTCGATAAAAGCAACCATTTTTCTTCCTAGAATGACCCCAAATCAATCTCTTGCTTTTAGCGTGACATGTGTTGCGTTCCACTGTACAACCGAAGGCCGACTATGCGTCGAAATCTTAAAATCTCTCAAGTTTAGTCGACGCAAGGCACTTAGGGATAGCCAACTTGACTTTATTTCTGTCATATACCCCAACCGCAGTGCATGCTAGGAAATAAGTTTAGCCGCAGATAATCAGTTGATGATAGCCGCAATTAATATCTGCAATGGTCTAATTATTACCTTATGAAGAGAGTAAATGAGTGTATAACGTCAATGTAACAAGCATTCGGCAAGAACGCGAAGAACTCTAGCGTAAGGAAGCTAACAAGCATGAAAGAGGTTTTTATGGGTGAAACTCTCGCAAAGCGTGAGTTCTCACCGTTCTAAATCACTCACGCCTGATAAACGGAGTGCCTTTTACGAAAGTTATTTGTTACCATGACAACGGGGGCAAAAGATTGATTCAAGTACTCTGGAAGAGACTGGTAACAAATGATTTCCGGAAGTGCTTCCGGTTAGGTTGTTTTAAAGTTTATTCGATTGCTTACTCTTCGGGAATCGTTCGACATTCATGTTAAATTTACGAGCTGCCACTTACTAAAGAAAGAGCAAGCGCTGCCTGATATCCATGGGAAGTCGTGGTTTTGACAGAAGGCGATGGAAAGACTCAAAAGGAAGGTAAGAAGTCGTAAGTAAAGTAATTGAATCAACCTTTAGATTGTTGCTTTGAACGATATTTACCTTTACTACAAATAAGCGAATTCAGGGATCCATTTTGCTTCTTTTCCTTATCTTATCCAGTAAAAGAAATGTAGATGCGATTTGCTCCAATCTGAATTTTCAATTTGTCCTCAGTTGATGTCTGAAGATCAGATCATGTTTCGAATTCGTATTTCCTCGCACATCTTGTCTAATTAGGGTTTCCGTCGTCCCTATACAGAGCCTGGAACTTAAATACAGTCCAATTGTAGTCATTTACGACGGAAAAGTGTTATTTTTTTCTTAGTAACGAAATTATGATAAACAGTTCAATCTGAAAACTAAGAGATCTGCAAATGCAAATATCGATTAGACTGTTTAATTTATAATTAACCGTGCTTATGCATTGAAATAGCATGACAAAATTTAAGTCGTGACATAATGCAAACTCTTTGTGGTCACTCCGCGGTATAATGTATAAATATAAAAAGTATTTATCATAACACGTTTAAATTATCAAACAAGGGCAATTCAAGACTCTGACTGCCATGGAAACGAAATCATTGACGAAATCAATTTGTAAACGAAGAGATCTGCAGAAGCATATGGTGGTTAATGCATTCACACAGGCAATTAAAAATACTCGTGTATTGTAATATCGTGATACGATATAGGCAGTAACATAAAGCAAACTTTTTTGCTATTCACATCTCAGTATAATGCATAAATTTAAACAATATCATTCATGCACGAAAACAAAACGAAATCGCCGCTAGTTAGAAGAAAGCATATCCCTTGGAAGGTAGAAAAAAGTTAAGACACTACTCTGTGCTTAAACCTTTAGATCCCTGTAGGCTTAGCTCATGACAGGAATACGGCATATGATCCGCATTTTGACGAACTATGCGAAAAACTGTTCAATCGCGTAGTTCTCCTCAAACTTATAACTCCCTGCATGCAAGGGAAACTAAGAAAGAATCAAATCATTCAAAGTGTTTGTGGCTTTCTTAGTTTCACAGTAATAAGTAACTAAGCAGTGTGGTCCTATAGTTTGCATGGTTGCATGGCCTGCTGCAAATCTGTAGTTCACCACCTTCTCTAACCTCAGATTGGCCAGGTGGTGTGCCTTCTATAAATTATTTGTATTTGAATGTGCTCCCCAAAATTTAGATCAGAAGAAATAAATCTTAACCAAGGTTAAATTAATTTTACTATAAGGTAATCATGTCTCTACACATTTAGTGAAGCAGGACAATTCTAATATTCTAATAGCACTATTGAGTGATTCATTTGTTTATTTATTTCAACACATTTTTATCCACTGCATTGTGGGGTTACCAGTAATGGATGGATGTAGTGAGAAAAACTTCAGAAGGAATACTTTCAAGGTCACCATTATAAACAAATTGTAGTTTTCTTTTGTTTCTCATTTCACAACGGAGTCCATCGAATCCAGGCTGATAAGCACAAACATAATTGTTCACACAGTCAGTACAAGTAGCACTGTTTACAAAGGGATCATTAGAACACTCATTGATATCATTAATGACTTTGAGATGTGCACAGGCCATCGCATAGCAAAACAAAAGTTATTCACTTATACTCGTTATTCTACATGTTACTTTGCAATAAGCGTGCGTGTTCTTATTCTCTACACCTGAAGTTCTGGATCACCAACTTCGGGAAAGTAAGTGTTTTCAAAGTCCTTCGTGGTTTTAAGGGGATCCCAAAGCTTTTTGCGGTCTCCCATCTCGTGCCTTCCTTAGCAAAGCAAAGATGAAACTAAGCAAGGTCTCATCCGTGTAAATTGAGCATACATTTGGAGTAAATATACGCATAAGCAGAGTCACGCGTGAAGAAAGAGCTCGAACGAATGACACGTACTTTCAGTCCTTATGCCCTTAATAAACGCAGAAAAAAAGGCACACTCAGCGCTCTCAAGCGAAATATATTGCCTACAACCCTTGAATTAAAAAACCTCCGCGCTACAGCGACAGATAAATATAGAACTTATGAACCTCCAAGGGAAGAATAAGGAAAACACGGACCAATAACTTGAGATTTCGTGACTACACCTGGAAACCTTAAGCCACATTAGACCTAAAAAATAAACTTAAGAAACGTTTCGTTCTTATTCTTGGCGAGAAAAGACATTGCTTTGGCTTTTTAACTCTTTGTTTTATTTTGTGTTGCTACCAGTGAAGACTAGACCCAACCAGGTCAAAATAATGTGCCTCAAGTTGCATCTCGGGCATCACATCACAATCTCTTAACCCGTTGTCAAGTTCAATTTTTCGTGAAGTTCTAAGTAGTATGATCAGCCTCACCAGTTTAATGAAGAACTGCGTCTCTTTTTGGTTTCATAGAA